CCTAAATACAGATTTTTTAAGTGTTCTTTTTCTAGTTACAGGGAAGCAGCTCAGAACAATGTATTTTAAGGACATAATCAGGCTCTGTCATCTCTGCAACCTGCAACCCTAACTTCCTTTAGAAATTGCACAATGCTATTTTGAAATGGTTTCAAAAGCCATTTAGACCTGGAGTGGGCTCTTAGTGTGCCTAATTGCATTGTGCACCAGGGTTGGGGCAAACTCCAATATGGCCTTATCTGGGCTTGAGTGGGAGGTGGCTGGCAGCTGGTCTCTCAAATTCTACGTTCTAGGACCTATATGAGGGAGCCGGGTGGAAAGATTCTCTGACACTGTTCTCCATCATGGTAGCCACGCCCTTACGTGTGAGGGCCTTTCCTCTCCAGACTGTTTTCTTTCTTCTCCAGTCAATCTGAGTAGTCATTGTGTGGACTGAATTGTGCCCCCACAAAAGACACGTTGTAGTCCTAACCCCAGGCACCTGTGAATGGGACCTTACTTGGAAAGGGTCTTTGCAGATGTAATGAAGTTAAGATGAGGACATACTGGACTAGGGTAAGTCCTAAATCCAATGATTAGTGTCTTTTTAAGGAGAGGGGGATTTGAAGACAGACACACACAGGGGAGACACAAAGGAGCTATGTGAAAATGGAGGCAGAAATTGGGAGTGATGCCGGTACAAGGTAAGGAATGCCAAGGATTGTGAGCAACCACCAAAAGCTGAGAAGTGACAAGGAAGGATTCTCCTCTAGAGCCTTCAGCGGGAGCATGGCCCTCCTGACACCCTGATTTTAGACTTACGGCTTCCAGAACTGTGAGAATAAATTTGTTGTTTTAAGCCACCCAGTTTGTGGAATTTTTTAAAGACAGCCATAGGAAACTAATACAGTCATTATGCTTTGCTTAAACGGAGAAGTCTATAGAGGAAGAAATGAAGTTATTTTAAATTTCGATTTTCACCTGCCTAAGAGTGTGACATCTTGCTTTAAATGGCTGAGTTATTTTACACAAATACGCTTATAAGAATGGAACAAAGGAACAATGCAGGAAAGTAACATGCAAATAGCCTCCCAGAGTAATACTGTTTTAAACAAAAATAGAATTTCTGTTGAACTTGATAGTCTTAAAAGACAGACAAGTCCAAAAGGGGGCATTATAGAACCGCTTGCCCACATTCAAATACTTTACCATGTTGCAATGCAACTCATGATATTGCAGTTCTCCGTGTTCATGTGTATCTCCTCTGCTAGACTGAGCTGGAGATCAGGACTCCCTGTTCATTACCAGTACCCAGAAAAGTGTCTGGCTCACAGCAAGATTCAAACATGACTCAGTGAGCATATGAATGAATGTACAAATAGCTCTCAGGATGTGGTCTTTTAGGATGTAGAAATTATAAATATGATTAAGATACCATGCTTTCAAAATCCCTTCAAGTAGGACACACAATTGTTCTGTCATTTAAAGCATTTCTTTTTAAAACCACATGAACTTCCAATGTCAAGGAAATTGCAAGACTTTCCCTTAATAGCATGATGATTGAGGTAAATTGATGAGATAAATAACTGTTTGTGGTATTTTTTAAAGACAGGCATAAGGAACTGTTTCTTCAAGGAGATGTACAGCTGTTATTTCATAGAGACCACAAGGAAAAAAAATGAAGCAGTTAGCCGACATTTCCTCCTCCAAGTCAGTCTCTCAGACTGAAGCTAGGGCCTATTCTTTCTGGGCACCAAGAGAAAATGAGGTGCTGCCTCTACTTCTCATTGGATGGACTTGTCCAAGCAGGTTTGGCTACTAGAATGCGGAGCAGGCTGCTGGGACAGTGCTCAGCCCTGACCACAGGCCAGTGATCACCACCTTCCTCTGGTGGAAAGCATTTTCATGGCATGTGCGCACCATGTGGTTTTGCCTCGCTTGTCCCCAGTTTCACCACACATCCCCTCTGGGGGCATGCAACGCAGGATATGAACACAAGGCTGCCCCTTTTTGGTACAAAGTATTTATTTTTTTGGTGGCGCAGTGGCTAAGCACTCGGCTGCTAACCTAAAGGTTGGCAGTTTGAACCCACCAGCCGCTCTGCTGGAGAAAGATGTGGCAGTCTGCTTCCGTAAAGATTACAGCCTTGGAAACCCTAGGGGGCAGATCTACTCTGTCCTACAGGATTGCTAGGAGTTTGGACTTGACGGCAGCAGGTTTGGTTTTTCTGGACCTCAGATGCTAGGTCTTGTATGAGGGCTAGCTACTCATTTTTCCAGAGAACTGCCAATGATTTACTGATGCTGACAGTTGCCCTCAGAGACCATTTTGTACAATCTCTTCATTTAAAAAAAGACAGAATTGAGACTTCGAGAGATTAAGTGACTTGACCAAAGCCACAGAGCTGTTTCATAGCATATCAAGATAAGAACCCAGGGGCCTTGTGTTGCAAGCTTTATGTACCACACAATGCTATTTCACTTCCCATAGTAACAGGAAAAAGTCAAAAAATACTTAACAAGCATCCATGGGGTGCTATTTCCCAGAAATACATATGAGAAATTAGAGAAAGGAGGATCTCCTCTAAATTATCTTCTCACATGAATGGCCCAGAAGTGGGTAAGTCCTGAAGTTTCCGTCCGGGAACTGTTTTCACCATTTCCCCTTAACCCTCTCCCTTCCCAACACTTTTGTTAATGCTGTGCTCTATGCCTGGAAGACTTTCTCCTCAATCTTGGGCTGCTATTCAACCCAGCAGGTGAAGCAGCTCACTCACCACCTCTTCTATGAGGCCTTGTCTGGTAGAGTGAATATCTCTTATACTGCTGAATTCAGAGTAACCTGCAAATAACTTTATTACAGAATGTGTACGTACTGTAGTTACTAGGTGATACAAATGGTTTGTACTCAATGCGAAACCAAAGCTTGGTGGTTTGAACTTATCCAGTGGTACCTGGAAAGATAGGCCTACCGATAGGCTTCAAAAAAGATTACAGCCAAGAAAGCCCTATGGAGCACAGTTCTACTCTGTAACACATGGGGTCGCCACGAGTCAGAATCGACTTGACGGCAACTAAAAGCATTAACCCTCCAACTAGGCTATGAGCTTCATCACAGCACATTTGGGTCTTACTCACTTTTGTATTTTCAGAAACAAATTCTGTTACTGGGTACAAGACATCAAACCCAAACCCACTGCTGTTGAGTCGATTCCGACTCAGAGCGACCCTACAGGACAGAGTAGAACTGCCCCATCAGGTTTCCAAGGAGTGCTTGGTGGATTTGAACTGCCGACCTTTTGGTTAGCAGCCAAGCTCTTAACCACTGCACTACCATAGGTGCTCAAAAAATGTGTTTGCAGAGACGATGCAGATCTAAAGTTTCTTTTTCCAGAGTACGGTTTGAGGATATGAAACACGGTAAAACAAAGATGGCTTCTACAATGAAGCAGCTGATAGAATACATTGATATTATAGATTTGAGAGTTCTGGTAGGACACAAGCTATGTATCACAAAGGTTTAAAAACATTTATTCCCTTTACTTTAGAAAAATAATTGTCAGTAGTATAATTTTTCATTGCTCTGAAACTGTTAATAACCACTAAGATTGATTTTAATAATAATAGGCAATCATTTGCTGTAACTAACTTGAATTCAAGTTCAAAATAGAAAATGACAGAAAATATACAAAATCTATAGAGAACAGTTTGGTTCTAGCTCGTGGGTGGTCAAGTGCTGTCATTCTGGAAGGTTGTTAACACTATCAATTAAGAGAAGGGTAGAAGGCACAGATTATATAATAAACATAATAAAGTCTAGTTTTAGATTCTGATGACACATGAGTAAAGCAGAAATCAAGGTCAGATAATAAATAGTTAATGCTCATAGTTACTTCTGTCTTAGAAATAAGAATTATGTGAAATTGTATTAAGTAATAAAAAAAGGACAATAAACTACACTGTAGGTTTTAAATAACCAATTGTCTGGTTTTCAACATTTAAAGAGAGAAATGGATTTTAACAGAACCAAACAAAGATGGTTAAGGTGTTTTTCCCTGCACATACACAATGTTTAAAAAAACTCACTGCCGTCAAGTTGATTCTGACTCATAGTGACCCTACAGGACAGAGCGGAACTGTCCCATGGGGTTTCCAAGGAGCGGCTGGTGGATTCGAACTGCCAACTTTTTGGTTAGCAGCTGAGCCCTGAACAACTGTGCCACTAGGACTCCACACAATGTTTAATTGTGTTATCAGTACTAAAAAGCTGTAGGTCAAAAAAACTTATTTCTTTAAAGCATTTTTTGCTCCACTTTATGGGTTCCTGTGAATTGCACGTCCCCCAAACACGAACACAAAAATATGATCTGTTTGTTTATTTCACTTTATAAGCAATTGATAAAAATGTAAATACATATACACCTAAAAGGTTGTTCTCCTACAAGCACAGACTTTAGTAATTATCTAAGCTCTTTGGCCATTTCAATTATACATAAAAAGAAATACAGAGAAGACCTACATTTATGACCTACATAAATTAAGGCATGTTAATTA